CCTGGCTTATAATCCTCATCTTCACTATCATCCTCGAACCCGCTTTCTTCACCTTCTATTTTCTCGATGAGATTTCCTTCTTCATCCAATTCCACTTCTGTAATGAGATATATATCTGCGCAAAACTTACATTTGTTTTGTAAAAACAACATAAGAATCAGTAAGTCCCAGACGTGATACAAAAATGCCTCAGGAAAAAGATACCCGTGACAGTACTCTTTGGTAGGTCGAATCGGCAAAATGCCGCGATCTATAAAGTAAAAAAAGAAAATTCACCATAATCAACTTGTTGAGCCTTCCTACGTGACTTCCCTATATCATCCGTTGCATAAGGTAAGGTTCGATACTCTTTATTCAAGGACCTTGTCAAAGCGGCCTTGACCTGAAGTGGAGAGAATGATTACACAAGTTGGATATTGGATATATGTCGTGTATGTTGGCCTCGGATAGCCTAATCATAATTTACCTTAGGGAGGATTTTGCTGGCCGGATCTATCTTCCCTGGCCATACTGCCAATTCCGACACCGCTTCGGCGTCTTCTCGTATTAAGTCGTAATCGTTCATGATGCAGACAACCTCGCTAAAATTAACTCGCTGTACTCTTTGCACGGTATCATTTCAAAGAAAAGCATGCTTCAAATAATAGCGAAGACTCTTAGAAAAAAGAGTGACAGCTCACAAGACTCCATCCGTTTCTCTCTCCAGAAGAGGCTTTGTAAGACAGTCGCGCAAGACCGGTACGTAGTCCGCAACCAACGAATGATTATCTGCAGAGATCCTGAAACATTAAAATAACCGGAACGATTAGAAAATTAGCCACGCCTTGGCTCTAGACTGTATGAGCACAAACTTCAAAGAAGAAAAACGTATCATAAATGCTGAAGAATGGGCCTAGGACGGAGCATATTACAGCTGGATTCCCGACTAAGCCTGGTGGCTCTCACTCACTTTAGATGCGTATGTGTAGCAAGTTGCCTCAGAAGACGTTGCCGCTTGTTTGCAGTAGAGTTCTTGCCCAACCATGCTGGGAACTGAATCATAGCCCGAAGATGTCCATCTGTAGCTATGGACGGCAGAGCGCACCCCAGCATTGCCTAAAAACTTTAGCATAACATCAGCAATCAAATGAAGCTTGTTTAAATATCGAATATGCTCTTATGTACGAGCGAATGAGGTACTTCCAGTAGGTACCTGTTCATTTAACAGCTTCCAGGTACCAGTAGATCGAATACACCGTTCAATTGTATCACCATGGGAAATGAGATCAGCAGCTTTTCGCAACCCAGCCATCGCTTGCTTAGGTCTAAAAATAAACCTTAGCTTTAGCTTTCAGTGATACCAGTATTTTTGGCGGCATTTTCGACCAGACCGACTGCTTTCCCGTCTCCTATTAATGATCACTTTCCAACAAATGGTTCTGGTCTCCTGCTCTCCCCAAAGAGAAATGAAGACAGGTAGAAGGTCTTATCATTGAATCCCGCTATTACAATAAATACTTTGATAAAAGTTCCTCCTGCAGCTGTTCGGTCCAGCTGAGTCCACACTATTTTTGGGTCATGTCCCCTTTGTGAAACATTTCTGTTTAATGGAAAAAAATAGGGAGCGCTCAAATATATCCACCAACTGACATGCTGATGATTTAGTCCTCACTGACGACTGTCACAACTCAAGACTTCAAAAACTTACGTATGCTTATCGTTCCGCATATTCGGATAGTTTTCCTGGACAAACAATGGCATGATGCCATAGTCAACGAAGAACATGTCCTGCTTTTCTTGAAGTGTGGAACGAGAGTCCAAAAGCTTCCGTGCTGCTTCAAATGGTCCCTAAACCATCAGTATAACCAAAGTAAGTAAACGTGCTCCCCTAGTATCCCTAAAACAAATGTCCTGAAGAACCACAGCATGACACTCTTTACATCATACTCAAGAGCTTACAACTGCAACGTCCTTCTTCTGCACCTTAGTTTGTCCACCAGAAGATGAGTGTAACTGCATGTTGTAGATTGTCTGTCTGACATCGTGCCCTAAAATGAAAGGTTAGAACACTTGTCCTACTCTCGGAAATCGCGCCCGAAAAAAATTATTAGGTGAATCTATCCAAAAGACTGCACATATGGAACTGCGAGGCGGTCTTGCGGTCACTGGCCGCTTTCAGACTTCGACGAACATCCGACGCGTACGTGCTGCGACGGCGGTCGCTAGAGTAGTGTTGACAGCGCTGGCACGTTACCTAGTGTTGTCAACAACGGTCAAGCGCCGCGTCGCACCACGCACGCGTCGGACGGACGGACGGTCGGTCGGATGAGTCGTTGAAGTCTGAAAGCACTCACCGTTTTCCCAGTAATGCGCCGACTAAGAGAGATCAGCATAAAAGTTTCGTCACAAACGATGGCTGAGAAATTGATAGAGGCCTGTGTATCAAGAGGATATACGGCAGGTCATGACTGTATGACCATTACTCGGTTCAGACTTATAGCGGATAATTCCGCCGAGTCAATATGAATTGCAGAATCGAGGAAGATGAACGGACATACTTACCTGACAATTCAATCATCTGATCCAACTCTTCCTTCGAGATTTTCAATTTCTCCTGGCACGCAATTGACATCATCCTCGCCTATAAGAAAAATTGCAGAATTGCGTGCGAATTGAAAAGTAATACAACTGTATCTATTGATCAAATCCTCATTGAGTTTGTTCAGTGCGATTACCGGCTTCGTTTTGAATACGGGCATTTACTCAACAAAAAACAAAAAACAAGTATCAATAAGATATTACTCTGATCTGTTCCACACGTGGTTTCTGAAATCGCACATCGAAGCAGTAATTCGCGAGACTCCTTATCTTCGGATGTTGTCTATCGTTACATATACAAATAATGGGGATTTTTGTTTCCTTGATAATTTGTATTAATTCTGCAATCTGAAACAGAAAGGGATCATAATCCCCCACAAACTTGGGTAGCAAACTGATAGCCATTCCGAAGTCTTGAAAAAACTTGCCCCTGCACGATCCTCAGTTCCACTCATACCATCAACTTCGTCCATTATTAGGACGTGCTTAACTTCATCATCTGAAATATACAATCTGGGTACCTGAAACTCTGATCCTGCATAGGGGACTGAACAAATCATTCTCGAACGCAGAACCAAATTTGCAAACAAAATTGTCTGCAAACATTCAGAAGAACTGAAACTCACCATTTCCGGATTCCCCATTAGCAAAGTACTCTTCAATTTGATGCGATTCAGTAAGCTGAGTGATCTGGAAAAAGCTGCTGGTTTTAAAGAAAGCGCCGGTCAGAAAGAAGCCGAAAGTCGAAAACCTCCACAGAAGAACCTTTATACCTGCTGCTCTAAATTCTTCTTGCTCCGCACATCCGAAGCGTTCATCTCCACCATTTTTAGGCCAAGGGTTTCGCATGCCATCACAGCACACGTTGTTTTCCCAACACCTAGAATATTTCAGAGATGATGATATTGAAACCAGTGCTTGGTTCGGTAGAATTCCATAAGTGGATAAAAAATAACAAACAAATGAGTTTGAAATTCTTCTGGCTCGAAGAATCCTGCCACCTTCGACTAAGTTCAAGATAGAGAATTAGACTCACCAGGTGAACCGGAAAGCAGCACTGCTTTGAACGGAGCTCCGTCGGTTTGCGCCAGGAATGGTGGAGGCTTTGCTACAACGTTTTTATTTATTGAATTGAAAGAGAATATAAACGACAAGGAAACTCACGTTTTTTAATTTTGCCACCCTCCCCGAGATTGTTGCGAGCCCAATCTTTGAGCCAACCCAAGAGCTTATTCATTGGGCTTTTGTCGCCATGTTGTCCCACAAGCTGCGAAAGGTTGCGCGGCTTATACTTGTCCACCCAAGGAACAAAAATTTCTCCCTGAAATCAATATAGATGATGACTGCAATGAAGATACTACAAAACCATTGTGAATCCTACACTAGTCTACCTTCACTGGCTTGGGCTGAACAGGCGCTGATCCTTTNTTTGGCACTGCTTTTCTTATCGTGATCTTTTAGAGGCACATTAGCTGAAAATATACCAAAGAACTGGATTAAAAACAAATAATGGGAAATTTTGAGACTTCCCACCTTTCTGAGATTTCTGTGGAGTTTGTTCAGAAGACTTTTTATCCAACTCCGATGCTTTTTTCGAAACATCTTTTTGGGGAGTCGCATGCTTACCAGCTTTGTGAGGTACTGGGGACTCGTCGTCATCCAGCTGGATCTCTTCTATCTGAAGATACGCAAAAATAGACAAAAGAAGCACTTCCAAATTAAGTCCTATCTTTACACCTTCTTCTTTGGCTTCTCATGTTTCCTCTCAACTTCATTTTCTTTCTGAGACGGGCTAATTTTGGTGGTTTTTGACGGGGCACCCTGAGAAAGGTAAAGATGCGTATTACAAAGAATAGCAAGTTACTTTGGAAAACCTTACTTTTTTCTTCAACGCAGTCTTCTCATCAGCTCCAGAGCTACCGAAAACTTCTTTGGCACTGACCCTTTCCAACTTCTCGTCAGATTTCTTATCTAAAGTCCAGGGGTGCAACTGACTTACACCCTCCTTAGTTATAAACTATTTTAAAAGAGCCCAGACGGATTGCTTCTGTATAGTCGGTGAGGAGAAAAGCAAATAAACAAACAGGAAAATTCGATGGATTACCTTTTGAAGGTGTGGCTTTCTTCAGGTCCTTATCACGACCCGGCTTCTTTTGGACTGCAGATGCACCCTTCTTCGGTTTCTTCTTTTCCTTGAACTCATCTTCGCTATCCGTTTCGCTGGTGACCCGAAACAAGGAACTTACAGTGACACAAAGCAAAACACAATCTTTCTGTAAGAAAAACCGAAATATGAAGACAGCAACCAAAAAAGCGCCGGAGATTCATTCCAATACTTGAAAACGTGACTTGTGACAATCCTCCAATTGTGCGCTAACATTCATTATGGTCACTGATAGATTAAAAAGATCACCGCTTTCTTTTAGGCAAGCATACAAACATGAGTTATTTCGTAGATTTAGAAAAACGCGCAGACATAGGATAACGAAGCTTTCTTCTGAGTGCCGAACAAAAGAGGAAAAGAAATGAAATTACCGGCATTTTCACAAAATTAATCAAATGCGACAATTTCGGAGTGTATCTCACACCCTTCACGTGACACTCACTACGCCACCCGGGGAGTTTCTCACCGTTCCCTTGACCTTGATAAAGCCTAACAGGGGGCACAAGAATTGAGCTCATTTTGCCTTGGACATCTTAAGAGACTCACCTCTTCGTCGCCAGATTCATGCCCTCGCGTCTGTTTTGCCTTCGTTTCTTGTTTCTTCGGGGTTGTTTCCTGAGGTTTTGCCTTCGTTTTCTGTTTCTTAGGAGTCACTTCCTTTTCTTCGTCACTATCGCTCACAACAATTCGCGATCTCTTCGCCTTCTGTGGAGGGGATTTCACTGGTGACGGTGTAACAGATTTTATTCGTCCCTTTTTAGGGATAAACTCTTCATCGGAATCTGTAATTCGAAAAAATGGGAAGATAAAAAAAAACAAATAAGGTAAAATAAGCGTGGCTACCGTTCATTATCTCACGTACCCGAAATTACAAGTGCCCGCGAACGTTTCTGCTTCACAGCTTCTTTACGCAGTGATGACGGGATTGGTGACTCGCCATCGGCTGAAATCATTACTGAATACTGTCGGAAATTGTAAAGTATTAGACTAACGAATGCTCTAATGGCAATTAAAAAGGAAATTTGACTTGAATTTGAAAAAGGAAAAGTGTTTGACGAAGAAAAAACATACAGTCATCACTCTCGCTTAATTCTACAACAGGCACAGCTGCTTTCTTCGATTTTCTCGTCTTCTGTTCAGATTTGTTTGGAGCCAACTTTTCGGATCTATTATTTTTCTCTGGAGTCGCAGGAACTGCTTTCCGAACAGCCGACAGCGCACTCGTTCCAGAGCTCTCTTGTGAGCCGCTCTTCTTTCCACCAAAGAAATTCCTTATGTCCTTCAAAGAGAAAGATACATTTTAGAAAAAACCTAAATTCTAGCTCTCTGAGAAACTTCCAAAAACACTACGCCTTCCATGTCGGAAATATTTAGCAGGGTTAACGATTTAAGTGAAACCTAGCGAACAAATACACCAGGGGATGAGACCGGGCACAACAAAACCCTTATCCAGATCTTTTAAAAAAGACCCACCATTTTTCAGAAAGAGGAACAGCGCTCAAAGTAAAAGATGGTCGTATTCAGTCGGTGAGAGCGATGGAATTTTGAATAGCCGCCCTGTACGAACTATTCGCAAGACAACTCGTCCATTACGGTAACTGAAAATTTATGGCGCTCCAGTAAGCCTCTTTGAAAATGGACAAACATATTAACATTTATCAGAAAAACAAGCATTCTGCAATCTAATGCTTTTGGAAGGACTGGTTTTTTCAATATAAAAGTTTAGCTGCTAAACACAGGCAGGAAATACTTATGGCGTAATCGGACTGCAACCTCCCAAAATCGGATTCCTGAAATGAATAGAGAGGCTGGATTGATTGGAATTTCTTTATGGGCCCAATCAGTGGTCGTTAACTAGTTCTGGCTTTTAAGAATGGGAAAGAAATATGTTAAAGAAGTCCTGTGAACACTATTCGCTCTCAAAATATTCTCCATCCGTCCAGATCCGTACGAAAAACTTTACAATCCACTAGTAGTTGAAATTAGGGCTATGAAGCAAAATTTCAAGGGATGGGCGTGGTTTGAAGCACTCGGCCAAGACGAGTTTTCCATAAAAAGTAAATCATAAGTATGACATTCGTTTTTTGGACGGAAGAAACCTTTAAAGTAGTCTAAATACTCTCCGCTGTCATTGTGTCTATATACGTCCGACAACGAGACAAACAACAACGTGCGTTCCTAGCACCTAGTGCTTAATAATCGTGTCGCATGTCAGCTTTTGTTTTCCGCAGCTGTCGTTGTTTATCTTTGCTTGACTTGCTTATCACACTTACCAGCGAGTGCATGAATATCGATTGACTATTCTTTAGTCCGAACTTTTGAGCTACTTTTGGTCTCAGTCCCGGGCTTCTGATTTCACTTAAACATTTCGTCTAATTAATTTTTATTCTTTATTCCTTTGTTTCAAAAGCATTTTTGCTTTACGTTTCTTTACTTTTCCTCACACATACTTTTTATATTGCGTTATTGTAATAAGATCTAGGAAAGCAAGGTCGAAAGAGGAAATTGTTTCAGTTTTTATATTGTGTCAGTAGTTTTTGTGAGAGTTTCAGTAGTTTGCTGTCTTTTTTGTCTTACATTTTGTTCTATCGCCTTTGGAACTTCTTGAATGATCCGCTGTGAATCTTTCAACGGATTAATATCATTATCTATTCTTTTTTAGCTTTATTTTCCCTGCATCTCATTGAACATAATTCTCTTTATTCTCTTAAGGAAATTTTCAAAGTCATTAGTAGTTCTCTTCCCTTTGCTTGTAAATTTTCAAAAATTTATTCCTGTCACTGTTATTTTTATGGACTTTTAACAGATAAGTGCTGAATCTTTTCTCGAACTGAAGTTGTTGAATAAGAAATCTTGTCAAGCTCTAAATTTCTCATTATGTCTCGATTCCAAGGCCGCGTGACTGCCTTGCATAGAGCTGGAATTGATGGCGAAGTTGAATCCTGGTGAAACTTAGGCTATGGGAGAGCTTTCGATTAACCTGCTCCAAACGCTCTTGTCCGTTGGCGAGGGAATTCGATATATGATTGCTGTTTACTACAATAGTATTTTGACCATAAACTTATCTGTAGCTGAATTTTTCTCCCTAAGACTGGAAAGTAATGAGAAAGTTCTGATGGTAAAGTTCGACTGGTGTTCGAAAGAGCTTTTTTGGTGAGCTGAAATTAGGTTGAGCTTTCTGGATTTTATGCCAGGCTCCATGATTCTGTTTTCTGGACCCAAATCTCGTCCGCAATCGCTGGTCTCCATTTCTTTCTCATCTCCTTCCGTTACTGAGTCTCTTCCATGCCCTGCCCTTTTGCACTTGTCATCTGTCCCCCTCGCTGTGTCTTGTATTCATGCACAATTGTCAACTTGTGCTCCGCATTGACTAGCGTCATCGTCATCGCTATGTATTCGCTTCTGAAATATCACAGTGGTATAGCTTTCAGTTTTTTAATTAAATCTACGTCACTCGGAATGGGGACGCTGTCCTTGGATATGTTATTTTTTCGCCGACTAGGTACTCTTTTAAAGCTTCTGTTTCCCGTCAATCGTCGATCAAGGACAGTTTGGATTGCACTGGTGGTACTCTTTACGTCCTTCACTGGTAAGAACTCTGCAACCATTATCAGCATAGGGGAAATGACTTGTTTTTGCTTTCGTTAAGCTCTCATTTCTTTCTCCACATTCTGCAAGGTGCTACGTATTTAGATAAGACCAACTTTGAATAACTCGCTATAAATTAGCCTAAAGTAAATAATTGACGTAAATGGGAACACGTATCTTTAATATGGTCTTGCCGTCACCTTTGCATCGAACAGTGTGCAAGATAATTGAGGGGTTGAAGCGCCTAAATTCCTACTGGAAACTCATCAATACTGTTTTTTTTTTGTGGTCATGGCCATGGAATGCGTGTTCGGGCGGTTTTGGGGAGGGATAAGGCGCTGGTGGCATTTGGGGGCTGGTCTGTGAACTGTTATTTTTCTTTTGGCTTCTAAAGAATCTTTTTAAATTTATCACACTTTCACATCGTCTTAATAAGTCCTTAATCGTTTGCAAGGTTATATAGGAAGGTATTTCTTCCAGTTGGGCACGATTGGAGTACAGTATTCCCATTGGGATAAGCAAGAACACATAGTTGAAAGCAGTTCTCCTTAGGTGAAGATAGCTAGATTGTGAGAACCTGTACGCTTAGACATAACCCAAAGGCCAAATCTTTCGTGCAGCTTAGAAAAGTACTGTGTGGTAATCGATATAGGACATTAAAAACCTACATACGCAGGTTTTAATAGGTTGTGATGTGAAAGTAGTGGCGTGAACCTCAGGTTTCAGGGGGTTCGTTAGAAAAGCAGTGGTGTTAACCTGAAACCAAATGATGTGTGTATGAAAAAGTGTCATTCATAAACAAAATCGTCAACGTCATTAGCCCTATAAGTGAAGTTTTCCAAACAACCAAGTTCCAAAAACAATTTTTTTATACACTGACATTGTTGTGGTTGCCTAGATTTCCCCCTGACGCTTACGTTTACGCTTTACGTTTACGGTTTTCATTCCATACATGTTTTAGATCAAGTGGCCACGTATTTCGTTGGTGTACTGCCGAGTCAATTCTATGTGGTTCTTGGGAACAGAGACCTGTCTGCATTCCATCTGTTGTGTGCAAAAGCCGGTGTCATTGTGATAGCAAAGTCTCTGGTAGGTTTTTTGGAACATCTTCTCATGAACATGCCTTTTTCTCAGAAAGCCAATTTATTGCAGTCGTTAGCGTCCATCAAATATTTTACGTCTCTTCTCGCGATTAAATGCCGGGAGATTTGTAGCTATACGTTACATAGATTGTACTTCAAACGAAGAGCCTTTTACAAGTTGAATTCATTCTGTGAAAACTTGGACAACATGTGAGACTTAGTTTGAATTACTTTTGATAGTTCTTGGTAGCTTTTCTGGCACAAATAGCTGTTTTTTAGTGATCAGCGACTTACCCAAGATATAGAGAAGACAACGCAAGTGTTAGCCTGTGATCTGTTAGCTCCAGTCATTACTGCCCCATTCATAATCTTGTATTACTCCTATTTAACTTGGATAAGGTTAGTTCCCGAACGTCTTCATCCTTTTGCCTCGTAAATTCGATTGATTTAGTTCTGGATGGCTGGGACCATTTACAATTTACCTATATTTTACATTTGTTACTTTGGTAAATCGTTACTTAATCGCTCCTCTTGTTGGTCTAGTCAATGAAACGGAAAGGAAAGAGGGCGATTTCCGGTAAGTCAGGCTAGGTATATCTATAATCGTACTCACCTGTAATTTCTCATATTCCAGACAACGACATATGGAGGTGAGGTCGAATGTGGAGTCGATTGCATTTTATCAGTCAGGTCTTATTGAAAACATCATGACCAATCAAAAACTAAAAGCTTTGTTGAAAGTAAAGGTATGGTTTTGATTAATTTATCCGTTTTGAGTTTCCATTAAGTAGACATCTTTATCCAGAAACTAAGAGACTTTCCTATTGTTATAGAGGAAGCTTGTTGAATGGCGTTTCGTTCTTGGGATAGTAACAAATATGTTTGACTATTTCGGTGGCACGCTTTCATATTTGATCATCGGTATTCCGATATTCATGACTCATGCATATGATTCATTATCAGGCACCGAGATCAATGGAATGGTGTCTATGGTGAGTAATTTTTCAATGATATCCATGTCATGCTTTTGGTTTTATGTGTGTGCTGGGGAATTTTCTTTATCCTTCTGATTCGTCTTTTTTCCTGATACATATGCCAATACTGAATATCATGTACAGATTTTTTTCGAAATTGATTCTTGATTTCTTTCTCGATGAACAGTTTCCTTTTCCTGACTTTCCGACGACTTATAGCAAAGGCACAAAAAGCGATCGGGTTTTATTGAACCCATGTGGTGTGATCGTTCCCAGTAGTATCGTGCTCATGGCTACGTTTCTGCTTTTCTTGTATTACCTTGTGTTCTGTTTTTTTTTTTTGAAGTTACACTTGTTCCATTGACATGACACACTAGCTATTATATTTGCTTTTTCTCATTTGCACTGTTCTCAAGCTCAAAAATTTAATTGTGTTCTGCAAGAGGAGCCAAAAATGAAAAAATGAGGTTGGAGCCAAAAAAAAGAGGTTGGAGTAAAGAAAATTGAGGTGCTTGGAAACTTGGGGGAATCAAATAGTTTTTTGAAAAACCTGCTTATCAGGCATATACTTGATGCAGTCGTTTGTTCCAATCTGGCTTCCATCCGATTGCGGAGTCCAATTGGGATAATTTTAACTTGCTGTTGTAGTTAGTTGCAAATTATCGTTCGATTAGTTGCGTTATAAGTTAGACCTGTTTAGCGGCAAGGGGTAAAGGGATGCGAAGAGCTTTGTTGTTGATGACGATTGGGCTAATGAATGTAAACGAGCAGTTGGCTTGTATGAGAATCTAACAACTGATTTCTGGTTGTCGCAGGGGGAACAAAAGCGGAAAACGTTTTATCGACTTCAGAAACAGACTAATTGACTGCCAAGTCGTTTGTATATATCGTATCAGCGATTGAATGTTGAATAATTGACTATGGATTTCTCCATTCAGCTGACTCACAATGTAGATTGATGTGGTATTATGTTGTCTGCGTTGTGATGGATAGATTTCGAAGGCATTTCGCAAGGGTCATCAGGGTCCCATAGGAATAATTCGTTAGGCAAGCGTTCCGCCATCCCGGCTTCCACGTCCCAATGAGGGGTTTTTCATATATAGCTGGTTTCGCCCAGTCTGCCTGAAAAGGGATTGTGAATTTCATGCACTTGTGAGAGCAGCAATGTGGTGTTAAGTGCTTATTGAATGAAAAATAACTTACATCTCCTGGCATATATTNCTGGTTTTACGAAAAAAGAACACTCAGAACTGAAAATGCTACCAATTCATCCAATTTACTTCCCGTTCGATAGAATGATGTTTGTGAAGATTTCTGTAGTCTGTAAGGGTAATCAAAGATAATTAGCAGTTCCCTTCATCTTCTTCCCCACGATTGCGTTCGATTTTGCTGGTCTATCTATCTTTTCCTAAAGAGCAGAGCCTCTGAGGAGATTGTTGGTTCTGGTTCAGGCTGAGGTAGTTTTGTGTTTAATATGGGCAGTTCCATCAGTGAACGTGAATTGTTCGCAAAGTAGCTTTACTGGTACAGCCTCACGCAATTTAGTGTTTTTGTTCTCACCAACAATTCTTTGAAAACGAGCCGATGACGGCCAAAGTGATGAAAGGCTCAATTAACTGTGATGCGAGTCCATGGATAGTGCAAGTGCAACGAGGCTTTGAACTTTGAACTTGAACTAGACACAGACGTTCATGGGACTCAATGTGAAGTACTTTCTACATGTTGAAGTTTTAAAACATTTTGGATGGATAGGACTAGCAGAGTACAGCATTTAAAGAACGTATTAAATTGTGATGAGAAATGGGCCATGCACTCGAGACCATTGAAAATGTTGATTTTCAAGGGAACANNNCAAGGTTGAAAGGCTAATATCTTGGGCTCATTTTGTTTTCTTTTCAATGTAATAGCTACCCGACACGCTTACAAATTCGAATATGACCATTCGTTGTAGCGAATGCTGCTTCATTCGGGATATCCTTTACCCCTGCGAATTCTTTTCTCCATATAAATTGCAATAATTCTTCATGTTTTCAAATTGCTTCCATTGAACATCTGGCTCCAGACGAAAGGGTTCTGTCATATCTATGATGAAGCGGAATGAACTTTTGCTCGCCTCTGGCTTCTTTCAACCTCACTGGGATGTACATATGTGCAGATCCGTTAGGCATTCCTCAGTTGGAGTACATCACGGATGAATGCACAACTGCACATTTTTGTGTAAAATTCGTATTTAAAGGGCATTAAGCCAGATAACCGCGTTCTTCTCTCGTCATCGGGAAGAATCCCGGAACAACTGGGAATTATCAGTCGTTTGATATTTGATGTTACAATGTTATTTTCAGAATGCGTTCTTCTACCTGTACCTGATCTACAGTTTTACAAATCTGATAACGTTATCAGAGAAACTTGGAGATCTAGCTGGTGTCACGCACAGGTGGGTCTTTTATATCTATATTTCTAATTAGCTCTCAATATCCGGGAAGGTTACGATTGAAAATCGTGTCCTGATGGGCACATAATAGATTCAAAAATCGCTGCAATTTAAGACTTAAGGCCGTTTTTGTGTTGCTTCACAGCGGAATACACAGTGCATGTTGGATCTCCGCGAATTTTGTGTCCACTACCTCTGTTTAATTATGAACCCTTACAGCGGAGGACACTCATACCCAGCAAAATTCCTTTTCAAACGTATTTGAGACGTTTGGGGTTTATAGTTAGCTGTCTCATCGTCCAAGAGTTCAGGGTAATTGAACTTGTGGAGGAACTGCGTCGCTTGCACTCAGACTGTCTTGAGACGGATCGACCTCCTTCTACCGTTCCTTCAAGTGTCGTTGTCATAGGGACAGATGATGAAGAGAAAACTGTCACTAAAAGGACGGTTAGTTCATCGTTTGCGGCTATTACTTCTGGAATAGGAACCACGCTTATCCAAAACATCCTTATTCTGGTTCCTATTTTTTGTCGTCTTGGTTTTTGGTTTATGTCGTTTTTTTTACTGCAACCATTGTACATCCGAAATGATTTTGATACGGGATTCAGATTGAGGAACTTCACGGAAAGCAGCTATCGCTAGAACGAGATTGCGATGATGAAGAAGAAGCTCAATTCCTTCTGGGTGAGCTAATTCGTTGTGCCATAATCAGTTCCCTCCTTAATTTTGAGCTTAAAGGCAACAAGTCCGATCGTGATGAGGAATGGACGGACGATGGTGTTGCGATGACAATTGATTCAGCATCACTCGCTCCTCCTAATGATGCTCAGAACTTCATTATTGCTAGTGCGTAGTTTTTTTTTCCTTGCGTTTTTCTAGGTCAGCGACAGAATATTCGATTTGTAGGATGTTTTTTTATGAGTTTCCACAGTCCACAGGGGGACCCAGTGGTCAATCAGTTTTCCGCAAGTTTATGCAAGTTTATTTGGTTTCAGGCTTATCACTGCAGCTAATCCAAGGACAAAATGTTTTGATCACGGGAGATAGTGGTGCTGGAAAGACTTCACTGCTGAGAATGTTTGCAGGATTGTGGAACAATGTATCTGGTAAGTATTGCCGACCAGGTCCTTCTAATATGGTAATGATAATGCCGCTTTTAATATACCCCTCTCTAATTTTCACCTTTTGCAGTGAGCAAAATATGCAGTTGGGACACATCTCCACTTGCCGCCCCTTTTTATGTCCGGTGCCACTATTTAAAAACTAAATTGGGACGAATTGCAATCAAGGTTTTTGTTGGGGCTCTTGGGCTGGGGCGTTTGTTGAGGCCCGTCAGGGCTTCTTTACTGTCCACTACTGGTTAGGAGTATCATCATTTATCGAGCATTCAAATTTCTCACTTCTTCACATCGTTCACTAGATACTGGGTTCGTTGAGTAGTGAGGAGGACATTGGATGAAAAGGGAGGATGAAAACGTATATTTGTTCAGCAGACATTATTTTTGTCAGTGCATAACCACATGTATATTCGGATATCATTGTTAGTCTTATAGGAAGTCTAGTGCGTTGGCTACTTCAAAAAAGATCTGAAAAGTGTTTTAACCTTTTCTTGATTAATTGCTTCAGTTTAATTTGTTGCAGGTAAGGTAGATCGTCACTGGCGTCCACGACCGCAAAATTTGTTGTTCGTACCTCAGAAGGCATACTTCCCGTCTGGGGGTATTACTCTAAGGCAGCAACTTGTTTATCCTCTGAAAGCTCTTCCTGTGGAAAAAGGTGATTTTTATATGATCGGTCGATGTTCAGAAGAGCGCCAGTGTGGCTGCTCCCAATCAGAACAATGGATTTGTCGTTTTTGGCATATGAAAGATGTTTTCATTTTCTTTTGATTGTTCATATTAAATCGGTTTTCAGATTTGGCGCGGTTATCGGAGATCCTTGAGTGGGTGAAAATGGAACACTTAATGGAGAGGTGTCAAGGTTTCGATTCACCTGTGGATTGGGACTGGTAAGGAAGCAGTTACCTTTTACAAGATATTTCTTATCGAGTTCTAGATATTAGTTCAAAAGGACTCAAATTTCTAGGAATGAGGCCCTTTCACCTGGTGAATTGCAACGGCTGTCACTCGCACGGGTTTTCTATACTAAACCTCGTATTGTTTTTCTTGATGAAGCTACAAGTGCAATTGGATTTGAATTAGAAATGCAGTTGTATAGAAAGTTACAAGAAGTAAGTGATTACATTGTGCTTTCAATTGTAATGACGTACCAGTGACGATTCAATTTATCGTTCTGTTTTTCTTCTTTCAATTGGGAGGAACGACTTCAGAAAGCATGAGACCTCGACAAGTAGCTTTTCTTTCGGGAACGTCATAATTGAATAGCGATTTTCAGGAAAACATTACATATGTATCGGTTGGGCATCGATTTTCGCTAAAGCAATTCCATGATATGGAGTTAAGACTCCTGGGAAGAGGCGAATGGTCGATGTTCGACATCGATACAGCTTCGATTGCTAGCCGAGCTGCCAGTATCATGGGTAATGATGGTGTACTCTCAATGTAGGGCAGGTAGCCAGTAACGTTTCAATGTCTACCATTATGTGGCACCTGATTTGATTGTACCGTCGAGCTTCCTGTCTCCCTATGTGACTATCAGAGACGTTAAACTATCCTCTGTATCTTTTTCCCCACGGTACTGATCGCCTTCGTTGATGTTACATTTAATGAATCGCCTCACATTCCTCAGTGTCTATTCATGTTCAAATCGAATCTCCCTTCTCTCACGTCTTGTGTTCATGTGCAGACAATTTATGTCGTTGTAAACGCTTTCCTGTGAACCTATGGTGCTTTGTTTTCTGATATTTCGCCTTTCATGTTTACATGTTTTTCAATTTTCTACTGTCCGATTTATATTTTTAGCCTGTCAATCGCGAACGTCAAAGGGTGATGTTCTGAAGTTATGAGATCTGATCGATGACGATTTTTAGATGCGTTTTTCAAACGTTTGCGTTTCTTGCCTGTGGAAACGCTGAGTAGGTCTTACTTGTACGGTTTTTAGTACTTTCAAATTTCTCACGTTCTATTTCTCTTTGCAATTGTATATATTCTTCAATAACCGTGGCCAGGTTCATCTATTAACCTCATTCATACTGCGTTTACTTGAATGTTCAATTGCTAAGCTTTAAACTGCTGTCACAAAAGTATGCATTTCTTTTGAATTCCTGTTGTTTCTATTGGATACTCCTGAATCAAGCGAGAGCTCTTCATTGCAGACATTTTGCGAGTGCAAAAGATTAGCTGATAGCTATGTTTCATTTATTGATGTCAATAAAATTGATTTATTATCAGCGTCTCTTCGGTAGTCATGTTCACAAGGATCGATCCAGGTGTGACTGTAGTGTTTATTAAGGGAGCGGACCACAGCACCGTTATTTTTTTAACGAACTGTTTTTTTCTTGAGTTTTTTTTTTTGTTTTTAAAGGCACAGTTCACGATAATTACAGGTACCTTTTCCAGGTTCAAAAGCGAAAGGTTGGTGTAAAGGAGTACATCTGTAGCAAAGAGAGCGAAGAAATCCGCCGTCTTCAAGGCTTTTAAGAGTAGTGAAAGGGAGGTTGTACGAAATCACCGTGACGGGAGTGGCATGTAACGGGTATTTGGACGAGATTTAACTTGCTCCCATTGCGCGGAGAGATGACTATATCGAGCCAAAATTGTCCGAAATGGCCTTCCTTTGTCGCCATCGGTTATGACAAGTTGTTTGAACTTCCTACGTGAGAGCCCCTTGAGACGGTGCAGTCTCCACAAAACCGTTGGAACTCGTCCACGACGGGCGTGGCAGTCACACGATACAATCTCTGACCCCCCATTGCGCCCTATTCAGGAGTTTTTGGACCTTATAACGGCAGATGTAGTATAAGGGGGAACCTCGAATTAATACCATACGGAAATCTTAGAGACCATTTGTCGCGTACTGTTTCTCAATTTGAATTAGTTAACGAAGATATTTTTGGAAAAATTGCCTTCTCGATAGAATCAACTGACAAGTCTGACATAAGTGTCATTTAATGTCGTCATATACCTAATCGATGCCTAAGGTGCCCATTCATTTGACGGCTCCTATTCTGATCCCTTAAGGTGATTACAGGTGTACTTAATCCCCTCTGGAATTACACTTCGAAGCCGATAATTTGTAAAACGAACTCCATGCGATAGAGCCAAGCGTATTATTTTGGCTGAGTGCAAAGCGATAGGGAAACCTCACTTATGAGCATCACTAGCCGTCCGTATAACTTGGATAAGGGAAAAATAAAAGATTCTTCCATAAATGCCAAAGAACAGGCTAATAAGGTGTTCAAGGGCTGCTTTCGAAGCGAAATAATAGCTGGGCTCGTTATTTTGGGTCAGCGATGTACTGAAATCTTGCCAAAATGACTAAAAACCAGAATATGTATTCTTCGATTTCGATCATTCAATCTTGGAAAACGCCGTGTATTCGATTCCCATACGGAGGTCAGTTTTCCAATGCCTCAGACCTGAACGACTAAGCGAAATTCAAGAGAGGAGGGAGGGAGCACAGTTTGTCTCCTGGGTTTTGCGAAGAAAGCGAGTTTGTGGGAAACGATGTCGTTTCCGAGTCTGAGCTTTGAGAAGGGGTTCTATTACTTTTTTATTTTGCTCAGTTCAGCCATTACTTCTGCTTGTTTCCCAAGTCTTGTATGCTTATATCGGGCCAAATATACCACCCCGCTCCCCCCTACCTTCATTATTACCTTTGCCCCCTATCCCCAGGCTACAAATGAACCTTCGAGAAAGATGGGAGCGGGGGCTCGTCTGGTGACGAGGCGAGACTGGCCATCCATTCTCTTTTAGTTCAGAATAATTTTACCCTTTTTGCATTATTTAGTTATTATAATTACATATCCCCTAAACAAACTCGTTCCTTTTCTCTATTGAAAGAATGTTTTGGATCAGCATAAATGATTTTTACGGGGAGTGATCAAAGACGACCTTCGCAGAAGATTCATTACCACCCAATTGACCCCGACATCCAGTTTATCGCTTTAACTTCATTCTTTGCTCTTATCACAGCCATTACTCTCTAGGAACGCTCTCATTGTCAGCCACCTTAAATGGAACTCGTACTGATAGATTCTCTGTTCAAAAATTGTTCAATCAAAATCAGATAGATCAAGATTAATCATGCCTCTATCAACTGAAACAGGGAAGGCTTCCCTACAGAACATTGTACATCACGAAGGAATGGAATGGAGCCGAAACAGGAGCAAAGTAAAAAACTTTCCCGGGAATGAAAGATTTCCATTCTTGGTTTTTGCTCGGATGAAATCCCAAGAGATTTGGAACGTGGGAAAGCCGTTCGAGGAGAAACTTCATGTCACCTTCTTGGAGAAACTCTGCAAAGCGTGCTCGCCCCCATTGGCATCTTTTGCTGGAAAATGCTCAGGAATGGAATCGTTTTGATGCGAGACCTTACTACTCGACCTTTCTAACTTCCTCAAAAGGTAAAAGCGAACGAACTCATTAAAGGGTCGAAATGTAAGGCTAAACAGTCACAAATGTCTCAACTAACAACATCGTTGGCTATTGTAGTCACCTTGATTTGTCAGAGCATCTAAACTAGCAAAGAATTGTAAAGTCAAGAATATCAGAGCGACCCCAACACAAGTCAGGATACCCAGTTTATATGGATAGGGTGGTTTTCAAAATAGCTCTAATTGGATCATCTTTTCGTTGGAATCCGAGTCACTGCACATGTAGAATTCACCCCTCACAGTGATATAACTGTAAAGTTGATTTTCCTGGACTTCTCATCAGTCACTCCCAACCGCCAAGTCACTAAGGAAAAGGCACGTGGTCATTTCCAGAACTTTCCAAAAAAACCCTGACACGCGACTTTTTTTCGGTGTCTGTCTTGAATTTTTTTTGCAAGAATTGACGTTCTTTGACGTACCTATCAATCACGTATAATTACGATACAATTTTCTCTATTCATTGTCACGAAGAAAAAATGAAAGAAAGAAAAAGAAAGGAAGGAAAGGAGAAAGAGAGTAGAAAAGATTAAATGTCATAATGTTCTAAATGTTGACCCACAATACCAAATATATCTGGAAATAGAAAGTCTTCGCGGTTGATAAAACCCATTCTGGGATGACTCCTCACATTCGACTTCTATTCAAAACTGTTAGTGTTCAGAATGCGTATTTGGCCTATTTGATGAATACGGCGGCCAGTCAATGCCGATGTTTAGAGCTTTATCCTCCCAGATGGCTTGAGAGTTAATCCGACTCAGAGGGATGGAACAAGGTTTTCTTGGTTCAAAAAGCTGCATCTATAGTGCTAGCTAGGTGCATCTTTGCAGTGAAGGTGCCCGTAGACTATGAATATGATGGAAGCGTAAGTGGAGCAGTCACCACCCAAACCCTGATTGGTACAGAAGGGAAGAGCCTAGCCTTAATTCACATCAAAGCTTCAGTACGGTCTCGAAAGCTGAGTGCGTAGCTTGCCCCAAACGCCATTGGACGCCGAAAAAGACGATTCTCAAAAAAAGATGGAGTTATGGGTTTATTGTTCAGCAGTTTGCTTTATCACTGAGCATTTGACAGAAAGATGCTAGGAGAAGACGTATTAGAGAACACCCAGTCATTTTCCTTGGCTATGCTCTCTGAACAGAAACGGATTGTTCTCCAAGTCTCCGGAAGTCAACTTCATAGTGCCGCTGACTTTATCTGTTCGACTATCAACACTGCTCCCTTATCATGCCTTTGCCGAAATGGCAGCAGCTGTCAGCTCCTCTAGGGAAATAGCATCTGAATCGAGAAGGGGAATAGCTGTTGGTCCTTTTCAGGAAAGGGACCTTTTCACATCCCGAGCCTTTCCAGAAAATGTTGAAAATCTGCTGAATGACAGTTAGTCGTCCCACACTACTGTTCAATAGCCAAGCCATATCCTTCGTGTGTTGCAGCTGCCCTCAAAGAATGAGAGCCAGAGTCATCACTCAGTGAAAGAGTGCTGTGAAGGATTAACCAAAATGATATCAGATTCACAGTCAGTTTCCCGAGTTATGGTCTCTATGAGGGCAGGCAGTGAGACCAGGAAATTCACAAGTAGATCTGTGAAGAAGCAAACAAACAACTGACTGCTAACTCCGAGATTGCTTCTTCTGATGAATCAATAAAGTTTTCTGTGTTTGCCCATGCTGTTTCGGGATACGTTTGAGCAATGGAACTCTATTAAGAATGGAGGGGTTTGACTAGGAATTCGGCCTATACACAACTGGGAGAGGACTATCATCGTCCAGACCAGTAATTTCACCCTTTCATACAAAATCCAATTAGCGCAATCTCAGAAATGGCCTAATGACTTTTCTATTTCTATTTAGAAATGTTCATCACAACTAATCATTCCTTGTGACCAAGAATTCTCGTCCATTTTTCTCCACGTGGTGTTTTTAGCGAACACTTGGGCTCGTGACTTGGCCGAGAATCAGGCGTGAACACTATCCACCTTATGATAACCGCCATTGCACATGATGGCCAAAACTGGTTCCTACCGCATGATGAAGGCTCAGACTACACAAGCATATGCAGCCAACCCCATCATGTAGTATGGCATAATGGCACAGTGAACGGTCCGGCAATCCTCGAAATCGTGCCCAAAGGGTCCAAAATCGGTCAATCGCATTTCCATGTCATTTCCGAATACGTTTGCAAACGAAAATGTCACTTTGAAGCTTTGTTAGTTACTTCGCTAGAGTAAATATTCGTGCGCTCGATGCAGTAGCTTGGAATTAGGGGGTTCCGCTACCATACCCAAAATAAGCGAATCGGTTCCTCTTCCCAGGCTCCCCAAGCTTTTCATACTTCTTGGCTAGATCGGATAAGTGGTTTCATGTTAGTCTGGAGAATGTGCAGCGTAACAGAGCGGCTTGATCCTATCATTGCATAGTCAAGGCAGCTAGGAGTCAAGTAACAAACGTTTCAACGAATCTGTATGGAGTTCGAATGCACGGTGAGTTCCTTAAGGTCTAATCCATTTCAGTACTCCTTTCTTCAGTTGTTTAGGGTGAGTTTATATGAACTTAAATCCTATTGCTACGCCTTCTGAGTTGGATGTACGGTCACAAACAGCTCAGGAATAGCTAGGGAAAGCTTCTAGGGAAAGCTGAAGGTATGCCGGTACGGCGCACTGACAGAAATTCGTGGAGCGTGGATTTTAGTCTATGATCAAAGGCCAAGGTTGTCTCGTGGAGAAAACGATCTGTTGTGCTGAGCGCGAGAAATCTCATGAGCCAAAGGAATGGGGTGATCTGAAGTTGATTGTTTCGCATTATTGTAGGTCCACAGGCGCGGTCTAGGAGACCATCAAAACAGAATAGAATAGAATGACTGGTACCATACTCACTTGGAAGGATAAATGCGCTGACTTCCACATCGGTTGGCCCTCACAATTCAGTGCATGTAGACCGCATACGGGGCCACATACGCATACTAAATGTCATTACGACTCTGACTGGAAGTAAAATGAAGGGCGCATGCCAGACAAGGGTTTGATTGACGCTTTGACCTTATTCTTCACCTTTTCATCATGAAAATTGCTTTCGATAATTTGGTAAGAGTTACTGGACCTTGGATTCTCCAAGTGATTAAAAACTGCAGAAAATAATCAACAGCGATTGATGTCGATTCGTCAAACTCGTCTCAGCCCAAAAAAGTGACTTTTCCACCTGAAACGTCTAAAGTTCTCCAGCGTCACCGCATACATGTCGGTCTTTGCTCCCTGCAGCCACTGTTGACGCCACGTGGAGCGATCAGGTTCGGTCTGAAGGACATTGATACTACGTGTCTGGAGTAAGATTGTCACAAGGCTGACTTAGGGTTAAAAAACACCTGGTAGAAAGGTCACATAGCTTCGGACAGTAGCCCCGTGATTGAAATGTATAGGTTCTCTGAGTTGTTGAATCAGAGATCCCTGAAACTGGTTGGTGAGACTTTTAGTGTAGTAAAGTAGTGTGAGTAGTGCTCGAAGGCTGCTTATAGACTCTTGACGCAAATCAATCCCGTCTAAGAGATGCGCCCTGCATTTGACTTCTATTCGAAATCTAGTGGCGTATTGGATGCGTGCGTGGTCTATGCAATGCCTTGCGGTGGCCAGCCGATGTACAAGTCAGTGCTTTTATCCTCCCAGATGACTCTGGTACCAATTCACCGACCCCGGATGGATGGAAGGCTTGGTTGGCCTAGGCGGGCATCGATCCGGGATTCGAACCCCTGACTGTGCGTGTGATATAGTGCGCCACTTGCCACTACACCACCTCCGCCCTTGATATATTCCCATGTTTGGAAGAATTATCTTTACTTCTTCAGGTAGAGACGAATACCCATTATGTTTTGTTACAGTGACATAATTCCTTAAGAATGATGCGATATTGCGTCAGATTGATGTAAAGGGTCAGGTTTTGCTGCGCGCCGACTTCTTCTATCATTTGCAATTAGCGAAAGTTCTTGCAAACCGTTGTCGACTCAAGGAACTTCATGATGTCTAGACATTACAACAAAACAAATGTTCAACGAACTCCATAATGATCCACAGCGTTTTATCCGCTAATGAAAATGAAGGATAAATGATAAATGTACAAAAAAAAAGAGAGATTTGAAACTTTTCCCTGAAACTTCAATGACAAACTCCATCAGAAATTCAGAACTACTGAGTGTGCCAGAAGTGCGTAGTGACAAGTTACGCCGTCATAGCACGCATGATCTGGAGATCAAATCTCAGGTTGGAAACTTCCCCTCAAACTTTCCCTCAAACTTTAGGATCTTAATATAATACATTACTGATGGCTCTACTAGTCACTACCGAAGCTCTCTGGTAGGGACGAATCTGCTGGGTCGTCTTGAGGCTCTTCGTTACGACTATTCCGAATGAAAGTCAAATTCGTGGATGCACCCAAAAGAGATTGATCCCTTCCAAGACCACGGTCGCCTCTCAGAACTGAACAACCAAACTGTTCTGGTTTCACACTTTCACTTTGCAAGTGCACTCTAAGATCTCCAGATGTTCCTAAAGTACAATAAATATTATTATTTTATTGAATAAAGTCAGTTTAAGTCATTATCCTAACAAGTAGGCCGTAAGTCGGCCCAAAACGGACGAGACAGCCTGAGATTCGCCGGTATCCGGGTGAATGATAGTTGTAGGGAAGGGGAAAGGTAAGTTACCTTCTTTCTGCTTCTTTCAGCTGGCTACGATTATGAGACAGGGCCCAGAAGAAGATTCTCTATCACGTTTGGGATCTACCAACCTCGGTTGTTCCCAGAGCTATCGAATGCTTTCATAGTTATGACATTACCCACTTGGGCGCCTACTCTTAATCCTCTTCTTTTGTCTGAGTCAGCACTGGTCCGACTTCCCAGACCACCGAACAGATGACGTTGTTCCCTCCGAAGATCGTGTTTCACCAATACCGGCTTCATACGTGGGGCGACTGTCTGTCGTCTCAGCCATCTCTCTCCGTCTCTCTCATGAGACCTGTGTACTGTAGGAATGAACGGCAATGTCTGCGTCTACGTATCGAGGTGTACACTTGTCGACCGACCCATCACAACTACCGTAGATCGATCAGCGAATATGGGGGTGGACCCGGGGTGTGATTAGCACCATATTAGAACGCGCCAACTTCGAAGAGGTCGAGTCTTGGTCGTCAACATTTTGCGCTTCTCCCACATCTTCTGATATTCCCACTTACTAGACTCATTCGGAGGTCTTCTGCTGCTTGTCAGCTTACTACAGCTTCGCTTGGTTACCAGTTACCGCGTTTCCGTCACCAGCCTCGAAGGCTAGGCGCGATACGCGACACATACCTATTTGATCTCGCTCACTGTTCAAAGTATTTGACTTATTATGTCAGCTATTGACTTTTTTGCAGGCTGTTTAGGAGGTATGATTGATTACTTACTGTTTGATCTATTTTTTGCAAAGTATTTTTGAATATTTATTGTTTTCCAGGTGCAGCCGGCGTCCTCGCCGGACATCCTTTGGATACGGTCAAAGTTCGTCTACAGATGCAACATGCCAGTTCAAAACTTTACCGTGGCACATGGCACTGTTTCCGAACGATCATCCAAAAAGAAGGCGTTGCTGGTCTCTACAAAGGTCTGTGATCTTACTCATTGTATTCCCAGGGTTGTGACCAATTAGCCTGTCAGGAAAGCGCTTTGGAGTTGATCTGATTTATCTGCAAATCGATTGGATCAATCAATTGGGGAATGTATTCGTTTGTTGCTACGGGTGGATACGTTGTGATTAACGATTTTCTTTCATACCCATCAATCATCGCTCCCCACTCCCACTATCTATTGTGTTGAACTGAAATTGTCCTAGGAAAAGGCCATGGGTTGTAAATAGTAGAGGGGGCTGGTGAGTGCAGAGTTCACCTTCCTTTTATGAATCATTTGTCATTCTAATTTGTTGTAAGGTCCATCTTGAGAGGAATTTCTGGGTGTCTTAAAAAGGCAGTCGTTCGTTAACATTAAAGGAGTGATAGGGCGACGGGGAGCCCGTGGAACACTACTTAAGGTGAACTCCTCAGATTTCGGAACTTGATTTTACTTAAAGTAATGGTGACTTTGGAATGGAGTGGGTAGTAAGTACCTGCCCACCATAGCTCACCCATACAAAGAATTCGATGCTGTGAATTTTTGTTTATCTTTATTTTCATGGAATTGCTTTTACAAAGAAAAATTTTACATGGGATATAAATCGAGTAAGGGTTACCACATATGTTTTGGCTTTCAGAGGTGAAGTCATATCAGCGCTCTGAATTTGGTTTCATTCAATGTATAGGAACCTATAGGACTGAATACGGTCGTGTAAAGGGTCTTGTAGAGGTCCACAGCCGAGACTAGTTCCCGACCCCGTTTGTTGGTACTCTTCAAGTTCTCCTTCTCAAGGACTAAAAACCTAAGAAAGCTTCTGAGTGGAGGAACTTGACCTCATTCCTCTTATTGTGAGCCTTTCTATTCCATTGGCATTCACAAATATCAAAGACAGCGATGGAGATCCATTAAAGGTCAACATTATGCTTCCAAGGAGTACTGAGCCGTCTTTCCTTCGAGGGTGTAAGGTCTTAGGCTACTCTTTTCGGTATTCGTTTATAGATCTAATCAGCTCCAGTAAGCGATTCGGCCGGAAATCGTTGATTTATGAGATGTCTGCAGGTTGCGCCGCTATCACTACAATGTCAACGACACAAGAACCCTTTCAAAGAGATGGGTGCGTTGGTTTCGGGGCGAGATTCACCCACCACAGCGTGACCACGGAGGTGGGGGACAGGGTTTTAGCACCGAGTGGTTTCACTAATACGTTCACATGTCTTGCAACCAAGCTGCATAGTCTTCTAGCCAACGGCCTGGGAGTACTATCAAATATTATATTATTTAGGTATCGGGCGAAGGCATCAATCAGGCACCGAATTTCCATATGAAATTCTAATACCTCAGAAAAGGGACTCCTCGGAGGAATTTATCTTTCTCCCTGATTAAATGAGGGTTAGAATGGGTTCACGGGATTCTCGCATCAGAGTTATGCCAAAAAATGCCTAAAACACAGTATTGCCAAGTTCTTTTCTCCCTCAATTCCACGTCGTTAGTCTATCTATCTTTACTGGGAGTCTATAGAAACCTTAGTTTTGACAGAATCCAACTAACAACGACGATAATGAGAAGACCATCCTGTTGGGCTGATTAGAATCTGATGAAAGCTCAAATTGTGTTGACTAGTAACAGTGTTCTCGATCCGAGTTCCCAGCGATCAAGTATCACCCCATGAAGAGAAATTGATGAGGCCATACTATCAGTTCCCATAACGATTTTCGAAAACTTACAGTACCACCCGATCAAAAAAGATACTTTCTGATTGTTATCAGCGAAAAGGTTTTCTTATCTTCTTTTTTTGTTCGATGTTTTTGATTACTGTACCGGTTTTGTCGAAACGACAACAATCATGCAGCGTGTAAATCGAACTTAAAAACTGAGAGAGAGATGTGGTGATGTGTTGATGAAAATAGCAGCAGACGGTACAAATCATTCTGTTCAAGGTTTATTGGTTTGACTTTTGCGTCTTTTGCAAAGTGCTTGCAATATCTGAAGGATGGCAATTGTGGTGTGATGAGAGGGGAGAGAGTGGAGACGACCGTCATGGCAGATACGAGGTTAAGGGTCATCATCGTCGGCATATGATGGGATCGGTCCGTTCAAAAGAAAAGGTCCCAGATTGGTCCGATAAGTAAAGGACTTGATCAAAACACTCAACTAGCTAGGAAACTCTCCGAAGCCTCTTATAAGGCCATCCATTCTCCGGGGTTGAACCTCCAAAGTTTGTAGCTTAATTAAATCTCTCACAAAAATGAGCCATGCCTTCGTCTGAAATAGAGTAAAGTGAGCAGTAGTGGGTGTGCAATCTAACTTTCACTTCAGCAAACCTATGACTATGATGATGATGTTTCTTCCATTTAGCTGATAGGTAACGATGCTGGGTAGATATACTAGTCAACTCTCAGCCATAGTTGGCAATTTCACTGAAATTTGCCATGATTACAGGTCTTTCATCCCCTCTCGCCTCCCTGACGGCTATCAATGCAATCGTGTTTGGAGTACATGGTTCGGTCTGTCGAGAATTCTCCAATCCAGAATCTCTCCGAGCACATTTCTTTGCCGGTTGTGCTGCTGGTATGATGCAGAGTGTTATCGGTGAGCATGATGATTTCTACAGTCATAGTTAGCGTTACAAGTATCAAGGAGTAGTTAGTATGAGGCTGACCTTGAATGTTGAAGTAGTTATAGTATTAGCGCAAAAGTAGAATAAGGATGTTAGAGTGGGAGGGGATCATTGAATTATGACCAAAGTAAGGAGCCCCTCTACCCATAGCCCTTCTAAGAATATCAACTACCCACTCATACAACCGAAAAGGAAAGGTAGGAGAATATAACACCTGCCCGTCTGTTTTCATATAAGACAGGATTGATCTTCGGATGGTAGACTATCTTTCCGACTGGTGGAGGCGGTTTCCCTTTCAGGATGACCTCATCCACCTTAAGTCATATGTCTAATTGATCTGTTTTCTGTAACTTACTAGATGTTACTCCAGTAGTTACTAGGAATGACCACTCCGTCCATTGTCTTGGGAAAAGTTGTCGGGTTACCAGTAGCAGAGAGAGCTAAGATCAGATAGGGGAAGTGCTGAAGGCAAGTAGAGAAGGATGGGATAGAGACCTGTGCTCGGTTATGGATGACTAAAGCTTTATTTCTTTAGCCGCTCCATCTGAACGATTAAAACTGCTGATCCAAATACAAAAGGACTCGGCTCATTCACGGTATCAATCACCTCTGCATGCTGCTCGATCGATTATCGCCCAGCACGGCTATGGAAGTCTGAACAGGTTTGTGAAATTAATCAATCGATTGATCGTTTCACGATAAAATTATTTTTGTTTAATAGTTTTGTTCTTCGCTGTTGAACCACTTAGTTGCTAGTGGTTTCCCAGGCAACCGGCATTTTGGGGGAAGGGAAAGGGGTTGATTCTCCATATACACGTGGAGATGTCGTTGAAATCGTTCCCCGATCAAAAAACTGCGCATCGTCTAGAGAGTGGCACGACTGTCAACGACATCGTATATTATTGTAATAATGATATCGCCCTATCAGAACGATTCATTATGATGTTTGCATATATTTTAATTATTGACACATAAGGACACTAAAGCTCCAAAGATTATTTTTGGTGAATACTATTCAAAGGGAGTGCCTGAAAGTGTTTTGATTCCTTCTCCAAAATGATGTAATAGGAACATCTTGCACCCGAAAGGAAGAGTCGTAAGGCAGCAAAAAGGGAATGTGACCGATCCCTATTGAATAGGCCATGCTGAACGGTAATGAACTTTGGTGAGGCTGATAATTTTGGACAGCTGATGAGGGTGAGTAAAAAGCTCCGTTGGTAGCGAATAGACTTCAAAGTAGGCTTCTACTCATCCCGTCATGCTTGGTACAGGTTCCAGTTGGAGCCCTACCCAGTGCCCGCGGGACTCAGATGGCTGATTTCGGTAGCAAAGCTGAATGAGAACCTTTCTTCATTCTACCGATCTTTTACCGTGATTTTCACTACCGCTGATGGAGCCCTCATCTAGAGACTTGAGGAATTCCCTTGTGAACGCATCACTTGAGTTATTCATGTGTACCTGTTGATGGGAGAACTCCTAAAGCAGAAAATATGATTTCAGAGGATTTCTGGCGACATTACTTCGTGACTGTCCCGCCTTTGGTATCTACTTTGCCTCGTACGAGTACATGGCACGGCAAATGAGTAAAGACGGTCAGATGGAATCACTGACTGGTCCTCAACTGCTCCTGGCTGGAGGTAAGTATCCTTCTAAACATATCTTTCCTTGTACCACATAGGTGGTCACACTGTTGGCGAGTTGCCAAACAGCTGACGATACATTTCAGTCTGGCGCAGTATACTTATGGAACTATTGTTACAGGTGGCGCCGGTATGCTGTCGTGGCTATTCAACTATCCAACGGATGTCATAAAAACTCGCTTTCAAGCTGCAAATTATTCCAGCTACATGCATTGTATACGGAGTACATATCGAGAGGGCGGATTACGGGTCTTCTTCACCGGTCTCGGCTCCACTTTATTACGGTAGGGATTCTGACACTTCTACGTCAGTCATATTTGTTTTTCTTTGTCCTAGAAATAATGCAGCTCCAACCCAGGAAGTGTAGAATGGTAATTGGGAGCTTGAGGTCGAAATTTGGGACAATATGCCAAAATTCGGGTAAATTAGGAGAACTGGGTAGGCCATTCGTTTGTGACTTTTTACAAACCGAAGAAGGGTGG